TGCGGGGTGCCCATCACGGCGCTCCGGGCACGGCGCAGCAGGCACCGAGCAGGGCGCCCCGGGCCCGCACAGCAGCACCGGGTACCGCACACCGGCCCCTGCGCCATGGCCCGCAGCAGGCACAGCTCCGGGCCTGCACCTCGGCACGCTCTGTCCTCCTCTGCCCCTGCTGTCCCTGTTGCTCTCTGCCTTTCTCTCATGCCGACTCTCTCCTTATCCCTGCCCTGCCCAGATACTGTCCCCCCCTCATTCAGCCCTGTGCCCTCCTTATCCCTGGCCCTGTGAAGGACACAGTGGCAGACCAGAGAGTGGGCCCCAAGCTAACCTGGCTGTGGGGACCTCTCCCTGCACTCCCTCCTCATGCTGACAGCCAACAGTCCGGATGGGAGAGACTTCTGAGTGCCTGCCCGGTGGCTGCTGGCACTTTTCCATAGATGCATCCTCCTTCCTGCTCCATTGCGGGTTAGGTTTGTCATGGCTCTGGGGACTGTGCCATCAGCTCCTGCCCCAACCTGCCAATGAGGCTTGAGGCGGGCGGTTCAGTCCATGAGTGTGTCCCACCCCTGGCAAAGCCCGGCACCACCACCAGGTCCCCAGGAACTTGGGGCATTGCACTTCTGTGCCCAGGTGTCTTCTCTGTTCTCAGACCACTTCTGTGCCTCTGACTGGGACATGCCAGTGCTGATCACCACCTGTGCCTATCAGAGGGTGGGTTCAAGGTCCCCCACATTAACTTTTTGTCCCCTGGACAGTTGAGGAACATCTCCAGATTGGTGCCCAAAGCACTCCATGCCCTTGGGGCTGGGGTTTTGAAGTCCTGGGCACTCCTGTGACTGGAGACACTGATACACAGGGGCCTGGGATGCAAGTATGAGAGCCTGCCGCCATCTCATGGCTGTTTGTGCTGGGTGCACAGCTGCTCTGCCCCTGCTGGCCCAGAGCAAGCAGCAGGAAAGGCGGCAACCATGTCCCCACCATCCCGCTGGGTCTGCCCCCAGCATCCCGCTGTGCCCCTGAACACTGAGCCTGTCTGCAGGGCATCCAGCCCAAGCCTGAGCTTGTTAGCGCAGAGGGCATAAGCTCTGCAGTAACACCAAGGCAAGA